AGTATTGAATGCATTGAATGTCTTTAAATTACCTCTTTTCAACTCATTTAATATCAAGAACCAATTACCCTATTTGCCCTTATTTTTTTATCATTGAATTTAAATATAGAGGGGTAAATATTGTCCTCGAAAAATTCCATATATATTCTTGAGGCCATTCATACTTTTTAAAGTAGTATAGATATATTGGATACTCTCGAACTGAATAAGGGTGTAATCCAAATTCCATTGATTTCTAATCAGATCTTATCATCTGAGGAGATTCCAAATGAGCCGGGTTAACTTTGGCTACTGGGGCCCAACAACATAGGTTGTTGAGACAGTTTTTGGGCTGGGCACGTTCTGGGCAGTTCACCTATTCACGCCCATGCTATGATTTTTAGTAAAAATAAATTAATATGTAATTACTAATTTACCCACTCTCATAGTAACTTGGCATTCCCAAAAAATCTTTCAACAGCATAGGCTGTTGGCCTCCAACAGCTAAAGTTTTTCCAAGTGAGCCTATCCGAATCCGAGAATATAGAAAGGACTTTGCTCTGCTGGAATGGCCCAAGCTGCCAAGCATAGAGGAAAGTGAGACCAAGTCAGCCCCCAACAAGATTGCCCCCCATGACGTCCCACAGCACATCCCTGTCGTGTATTGGGAATATCTCCTAACGGTAATTTCAAAAATGATGATATCATCATCGGGAGATGTTCCTAATACACGGCGGAGATGTGCTGTGGGACGTTGTGAGGGGCAATCTTGTAGGGGCTGATTTGAACTCAAGGAAAGCGCGGAATGAGAATTCTCTACAATAATGCGAATATCTGAAAGCGCGGAATGAGAATTCTCTGATTTGAACTCAGGGGAATGAGGTTGTACACTTGTACCACTTCCTTTGTCTTTGGGTGAGAGAGCGAGACAGTACTAGAAATCGTCATTTCAGGCTTAAAGATTTTTCCTCCCAAAATATGCATGTTCCTTGCTTGCCAAATTTGTCACATGATCACTCTGTGTTAAATTAAGGGTAGGTTTGGTTCGCAGTTGGAACCGGAACCAAAATCTTTTGGAATCAATATCGGAAGGGCTTATTCCCATAATCTGTTTGGTACAGAGAATGAGAATTAGAATGTCATTTCAACAGGAATGGGAATAGGATTTTCATTCTGTCCAATCAAATAGCTGGAAATCGGAATAATCCATTCCAATTCCGATTCGGATTCCAATTCTAAATCCCTATTCCTGTAAATCAAACGGGGCCTAAAAAATGAGAGAGATGGCCTGTACTATCATCAATGGCATTATGCAACTGTGCAATAGATCTATTTGGGTGGGCTGAAGTTGTTTTATTCATCGTACCAACTGAGAAAGAGAGCGGCAAAAAAGCAGGACATGTTCAGTGGATTCATCTTCCTTGTGGCATAAAGGACAAGTTCTCTCAACTAGTTAGCTAGAATGTGTAACAGATTAAGCTTAGTTGGGAGAGAGCTTGTTATATAGGCATTTCCAAATGAAGAGGGTAATTCTGGTTGTGAGAGGATGTAAGATTGAGTTCCCAACTAAGCTGTGGTTCCCATGAAATCACTGGCGAAAATTACCAAATTTTAGTTCCAACTGAGTTTATAAGGTTTGCAATGTGGTGACCACTTTCATCATTCCAAAAAGATTTTTGTTTGAGATACTTTTCCTAGAACTGAGACCCATAACACATGATTTTCAATATAGAAGCGCCCACATAATTTCATCATTAGAGCAATGTTTTGATGTTTATTGGCTCCTACAAGGTCCAAGTTGCCGCTGTACGTCTTTTGGTTTAAGCATATCCAACCAAGGTTTAAGATAGATCTCATTCTAGTCATTTGATCCTTTCCTTATCCATCTGGTTTCAAAGAGATTTTGGTAGCAATTAATTAAGGATTGCACGTGGTAGCTAGAGAGGAGTGGATTTTATTAAGACTGTGCCCATTGCTTTCCACCTTTGAAGCCTTGTCTTAATTTTGTCAAGGAGAAACTTCCAATCTTGTGGATCCATTCTGGGGTTCTGATCAAGACTCTATCTGAACATTTTCAAACAATATCACCTGAATCTTTCATATTAATTGACCATGTTGTATTCAAATCATATGATGAATGTGCTCGATCGGTTGGCCTCGGACTAATGCATAAGAATGGTGTATTCGTTGAAGTTCTAGGAACCAGCCCTGTAGACCTTGTTCCTATCCTCTTCGGACGTGAACTTGATGAAGAAGGAACCATTGACATAGTTTGTCATTTTTGAAACATTTTCCAAGTTCTGGTCTTTAACAAGGTAGTCTTTGAGTCTAGACGATGTTCAAACAAGTTTATCGCTCTAGACTTTGATAATCATGAAGCAACGCCAATCTTTAGCATTGGCTAGATCCTCTTTCATTGCTACTAGCTTCATTCTCAATTCTCTCAAGGATGTCTTCTTCTATTTCATCACTATTATCTTGGATGAACTCCATCTAAGTGCTAAGTGCAGATGGAGAGAGAGAAAAAGATAGAACACGGGGGGAACTAGGGGAGAAGAGGGTGATAGAACACGGACATCCTCTCTCACTCTCGTTTACTATGAGAGGAGGATGGTGGGCCTGTAGTCCGACTAAATTGGCATAATGGTAATGGAGTCCGATTAATAATTGGATAATGTACACTATATATAATTGCTATGGATTTATTAAAATGCCCATTGTCTTTATTATTCTTTTTTTTTTTTTGAAAGTTTATCACTGGTCACCGGTTCGATTGGCCAGGTCCAACGGTTCAGACCGTGTCACATTATCATATATATGTATATATCTTCATATATATGTATAAATATATATTTTATCAATAAATAATTATAAATATATTTTAGATATATTATATATATTTTTATTGAAATTTGAGGCCAAAAAAGGGTTTTTTTTTGTGAAAATAGTTGGGTAAGCGGCCTACAGCTCCTTGCAACGCATAGATCTCTAAAATTTACCCAAAATAAAAAAAAAACCCATTGGAGTGTAAAGTTATGACCTCCAAAATTTTGCATACATTGAATGTGCAACCCACAACCCAATGACCAAGTCAAATGGGTCAACTATCGAACCGGCCGGATTAAATGGTTCTTGATTATATCAACGGTTTTTTACCATTTGACAGGTCTTGACTGAACCGAATCCATAATCCTGGCCGGGTGATAGTTTGAACGGTTCGATTAACTGGGTCAATGGCGGGTTAAAAACATTAATAATATCAATAAAGCCCAATGTGATATGCATGCGATTTATCAACAGCGACTGAACTTGACCCATCCCCATTCTCTTCTATAACTGAGAGAGAGAAAGTGATCATGGGCAGGACCAGGCTTAGCACTAGTGATATAGCCTAGGTCTAGGCATGAAATAAGCCCAGGCCTAAAATATTGGGCCTGGGCTCATCCCAGAAATTTGCTAGGCCTAGACCTATGACAGACTGAACACAAAACCTGGTCCCATTCCTAGAATTTTGGGACTGGACTGAAAATGATAACCCCAAAGAAAGAGATAATCACATGATTATTTAAAAAGGGTTCGACAATGTACTGAAAAGATATGATACTAAAAAAATTTTTAACTAATCAAACGGTATAGTGGCAACCAATCAGGTTGCCACAATGATAAAATATACAAAAACAATCAAACGGTATAGGGAAACCAGACAGGACGGCTACAATGATAAAATATACAAAAACAAGAGATACAATTAAAGTTTGTGGAGAAGAGATAGAAAGCATTTATCTAAATTAAACCCTAACCCCAGACTCTAGAAATGGTCTAGGGTCTTCGTCTTCACTTATTTAAATTATTTATCTTTTGTTTTTCGATAAAATTGCTCGTTAGATTATTTGAAACTTAAATACTCTCTTCTGTAAAAGAAGATTTGTGTAAATAAAGAAAAACCAGCCAGTTGCCAGTTTCAATAAATGCAGACGTGTCAATAAATATTGAGGGGCTGATGTATCCGTATTTTAGTGGGGCGATCTATTATATTATAAAAATGGAAACAGATGTGTTAGTTGGCCTATGTATCTTCTGCTATTTTAGTTCCTATTGCTAGTACGATTGTATTTCATTGCGTCACAAAGACACTGTCCTATACCGTTCTGAAACAATAAAATCAAAGCCTTTCATTTATTATTGATGTGACCTACCTTGAATTAAATGAAGTGGGCCACAGGTGTAAATCAAAGGCCTTGACTTTGTGTTTTGAGTCTTTTGATCCTACTCGGCCTTAGCAAAGAGTGAATTTTGTAATTTTATTAAGTCTGTGTTTAATTTGGTTGCGGTGTAAATAAATTTGCACTGATGTAAATTTAAGATAGTACAAATGATTTAAATACAAATTTTGATTTTTTTTTATTCCAAAATTTACCTTATTTCATTTAATTGTAATACAAATAAAAAAAAAAGCCCTAAAACAGAATAAAGTAAAACCAAGAAATTGCATTTTTCTCATTTGCACTGTTATACTAGTGTAAATAAGATTGCACTGTAACCGGCTGTGGAAACCAATGACAACTCCCCATGCCAAATTCAAATTACTGGTCTCAGATCTGGATCAATTCAGCGACCCCAGTGATGAGAAAAAATGAATACACCGCCATTTGCAACTAATTCAACATATCATATCATTTAATTTTTTTTATTCAAAATTGGCGTGTTTACAATTCACTAGATCATTGAAATGTTTTGTAACTATACATGGTCGCTGGTTATAATATTTTCTACCCTATGCTAAGCATAAATGCTAATTAAGGGAGAGAGTGAGTGGTTGGGACATAAGCATTTAATGCCTGTAGGCTCGGAATATTTTCATTGATTAAACAGTTTGCTACACAGCCATTGCCATCAGCTAATAGAGAGTTCAGATTGGCACCCCACTGAGAGATTGACTTCAATCGGTGCAAGTTCATGCTCACACCATTCGAATAGCTAATCTTACGATGGACATATTCTCAATACAAAGCTGTAAAGACTGTCGAATGAACCTTGCATTGACTGAATCCGATCTCCGCCACAGAACATCTACATTGGGAACATCTCCTACTCCTATTCTCCCGTACATTGTCATGGGGAGATATTCCCAATGCACAGTTGAGAATGCGGTGTGGGGTGAACATGCATGGGTGTGTTCTGTGGGGCACCCATGCAAATTCACTTGCCATTTGGTTACATAGGCTGATGAGAAGTTTTTAAATAACCTGCAATATCATTCTATAATTACATGATACTGACCAAAGTAGACTCATTTTTAATGACACTTTTATTTTATGCATGGTAGAAATTTAAATGACACATGGAGACATTGCTAATCTAACAAATTCTTCTTGCTAGCTTATTGACTACATGCATGAAGACATGGCTATTACGAAGGTGGGCTTAGTTTTTCTAGATCCTGTTCTCTTTTCCTCCATAATCTGCTCTTTTTTCACTTCCTTTGGCGTAAGTTTTGGTGTGAAAGTCGTAGAAGAGAAACAGAAGAGAACCGCTGATGAAAGCACTGACACACCAACTCCCAAACCCTGAGCATCCCTTTCCGGTGAAATGGTACCAGAGCATCCCAAAAGAAACCAGAAAACTTAGAATGAACTGCAAAATCTGGACGTCAGTCACCAGCCTCTTCCACCATGGCCGCTTCCCAAGTGCACACAGCATGTAGTAAGTGTACATTAGTATGTGCACCGACGAGTTTGTTATCACGCCGAAGGGAATGAGCGACTGCGACGTCTGCAGCCACATGTAGATACCCACCAATGCCACACTGTGATGGTAAACGTGGAGGAAGGACAGTCGGCGTTTTGATTTGCTGAGGAGGATGAGGAGGGTGTCGACGAATTCAGAAATTTTGGAGAGGTAGAAGACGTAGGTCCAGAAGAAGACTGGTCCACGAGGTGGGGTTTCATTGGAAGGGAAGCAGAAGAGCCAATGGTTGTTTGGTTTCTGGGCAAAGGTTGAGAGAGTGCAACCGACGGTCATCAGGGTGGAGAGGATGACAAGGAGGAGGCTGTGGAAGGCAGAAAAGAGGTGGAGGAAAGAGGTAGTGGACGGCGAGCTGGGTGGGGTTTTGGCCGGCGGTGATTTGGAGGAGATACTGATTTTATACAAGAATGCAGTGACAGAAGTGTAGGCGATAAGTGTTGTTGCGACGAACCGGGGTGAAGAGCCCCACGTCTCTCCTTCCTTCCATTCGAACTCCTTCACCACTGGATGTTCCACTAACCAGTATAACACGTTGGACTGGATCCGCTCCATAATCTCTCTCTCTCTCTTAGATGTAGAATGCAAAATAGGAGGATGATAATGTTTATATATATAGCCTACTGCATGGAGACTCATTATATGAATCCAGTCAGAAAAAAATACATTAATAGAGGTCAAAGGTCGATAAATCAGGGTCGGCGCTAATACATATGGAGGTTCATTATTAAATCCGTACCCATAATGGTACAATATGAGAATTGCGATCTGCAGTCTTATCTCATAAGGGAGAACGACCGATACTACCGATGTCAGAATTTATAGGTTAATGTACCGACGGGGTAAGTGTTAATTCACAGACGGACGTGGGTACATATAATGTGGGTATCGGTTCATTTGAATGTTTATAATCTTTTAGTATAAATCAGAAATTTATATTAAACAAATTCATACTTTTTCTAAGTTATTATTCATGGGAGATGTTTCTAGTGTAGTGCATTCCAGGGGCAATCTCTCATGAATATAAATATAAAATAAAATATCAAAGATATTTTCGATGTACAGTCAGAAGATGTTGAGAGGTCGGTGTAGTGAAGAGCGGCCTGTAAGGAGTAGATCCAAACTCTTAATGTTCAATTTAGAAGGAATACAAATGCAAATATGTACAATACAAATATAAAATAATACAAAATATAAAGTTTTATACTCTACATATTTGTATTTATACTCCTTTCAAACTGAGCCTAATATATGAATGTTTGAAAGCTGAAATTATCATGATAAAGCTTGTTTTAGAAATTCGGCAGAAAAATACAAGGATCAAATTCTAGTCAGTGTTCAACTTGGCAGGAAAACATGACATTAAGCTTAAACTTAACTTGAAGTTCAATTTAAATCAAGTCAAATTGAACTTTTCAAATAACTTGTGTAAATTTAGATTCATAACTTTAGCTCTCTTTAATGGACCCTGAATTGGAGTTAGGATTGAATAAGGTAAGACCAATTAGGATGAGACCATTAGATTGGTATTATACGGGGATAGCCACTTGAAGGTTGGGGTTTGGATTCAACTCTATTGTCTTCGTGTGTTGAGACAACCACTGAATCCTAGTTGAGTATTTCTATCAGATTGCTATTTTCCGTCAAGCTTCTCATTAAACAGCTGACACCCCGTGACCTCCATCGCCTCTGGCTGCTCTCTCGGACACAGACCAGTGGGGCAGTAATCAACTTCTAACGGCCAACCACCTTTTGGGGGGTAGGAGAGAGTATCACTAATTTGGCCTGAATGTTAAAGTTAATTGACTGGGCCATTGTACCTGCAAAGCATTTAGAACCACCCTAGTAAAAAAATCAAAATCTTGGACGAACATTATTTTAGGGAATGAGTGGTTGGAGGAATTGATTTCTTGGTTTCAATTTATAAAATTGTCACATCACCTAACCAATTTTGCAAATTCTGGGAAGAATTCTATTTGTTAAGACGGATTTAGTTCATAGATAAAATGAGGCAGCTGGCAAATAAAGATGTTAGATTGAATGAATTGATGTTCATCTTAATTTATAAAATTTTCACATGAAATGATTCCATAAGTGGTGTGATAAATCCCATTTTGGTAAAGACTGGTTCCTCAAAATTCAGTTCCGAAATTTTGTTATTCTGGGTGTTCAAAACTTTGGGAGATGGCTTCAAGAACTGGGGGGTTGATTTCTAAATTGATTTTTGACATGCTAGCTAGGGAGATGTATACTTGCCAATAATGTACAAGCATGTATTTTAAACCATGAATAAATTGACAGTCTTTGGGATTTGTCCAAATTGACTTTGCCATGGTGGACCATAATCCTTTATGTGACACGTGAAGTGTTGTTCTTTAGGGTCCCTTAATCCTGCCCCAAATGCTGTAGAATTTGATGAACTAGATGACTTTGCCTTTTAGTGGATAAAATAAATAATTAATTAATTAATAAAATATTGGTGTGATACTTTTCTCCCATTAAGGCTCAGTTTGGGAAAAGTAATAAGGTTTTGCACATTTTATTTGCACTTTTTCCAAACTGAGCCCAAGAGCCCATAACCTCCTAAAAATGTTATTCACAAAAAGAGAAAAGCAATATGCTTTTCAATTTGGTCGTTTTAAGTGTTATCATGCACACTATGTGAGCGATGTTATATAAAAATTTTGAGAGGCCATGGGATAAGGTTTTTACTTTCAGAAATTTGAGACATTTTTTTACTTTTGCTTTAAATGATAATTTTCAAAATTTTAGAATTCTGGCGCAATTTATTCATTAAGCGTCTGTTTTGCTTGCAAGAATATGGGTCTGGAATTGGAATTATAATGGTCTTTTCCAATTCAAACTGTTTGGCTGAGTGGAGTTGGAATCCTATTCCCATTCCTAGTAGAATGGCATTCTCCCATTTGAGGGAACTAGTAATCATGCATGTACTTTGCACGTAGCAATTTTATACGATGATAATAGATAGTAATAATGTATCCAAAAAATTTAATAAATAAATAAATATATATATATATATTTGTTTTTTATTATTAATTAGATACAAATTGTAAAATCCAAATCAAATTACATAAACACCCTATCCAAATATGTGATAATCGGATCTAGTTGTGAAAATTCAAGTATATTGACAAGTTTATCTCATTGGCTAGATTCTTCTTTTTTGCAATGTTTTACTTTTTTGGTGTATCTTTTTTTTTTGTTCATATATAAAAAAAATGTAAGATTTAAATAGAGGGAATTGAATGAGGTAAAAAGTAGCAATTCAATTTATAATTTAAACCTCGCAATTAAAAATGGATTAAATTCAAAAATGAGTATTTTAGTCAAAAGAAGGTTCCACAATCTAATTTATATTTTTAATAGTAGTGTAAATATAAAATTATAGATGCGTTCAATCTTTTCTATAATTTTTTTTTGTATTTTTGTATGTAAAAATAATTATGATATATTACACTTTTTGTTTAATATGATAATTATATGATATTATACGAGTTAGAATGTTTCTTTTTTTTACAAAATTTATGTATTGTTTTCAATTTTGTATTTTTATATCTTATTAATTTTTATTATTTATTTATGGAATTAGATGTTAACACATTTGACCTAAAAGTTGAACTATTGAGCTTTGCCAAATAATAAAATAATTTCATTTTTTGTTAGTTCTAAATTTTTTATTTCATTTTCATTATCAATAAACTTAATGCTTGTTTATTACACTTATTTTTTAATTTGACTAATAAAAATATCATAAACGTTTCTAATTTTTCTATATTTTTGTAATTTTCAATATTTACTTCTATTTTAAAAATTGTATTACCTTAGTATGACTTCATAGGTTAATCAATTTGATTTTGATGGTGGAATAAATTAGCCACCACTTGGATAAATAATGGTTTTGTTTTTTAGTCAATTTTAAAATATATGGATTATATAAAATATTGAAATAAATATAATTAGTAGCATTTATTTGTGAAAATACTTTAAATATAGGATTTAATAAGAAAAAATGGGAGTTAATACCTTAAGTATAAGACTTAATGAGAGAAGGATTAAATGAGGTGAAAAGTAATAATTGAAGTTACATTTTCAACCTTTACAATTAAAGATAGATTAAAAACACAAGTATGGGCTTTTTAATAGCCAATAAAATTGACATTAAAGCTGTAGACTTTTATACCCTTTCCCAAACAAAGAAATGAAGGGTAATTTTAGTTCAAAAAACTTTCACTCTACATCCACACTTTTATATACAGTATAAGTGGTCATGCCTCCCCCTCCCTTGGGAATGAGAATTTATTCAAGTCAATTCCAACTTCTACCTGAACGTAGACCTGTTCATGGGTCGGGTGGCCCGACGGACTGGCCCGGCCCCCAGACGGGCTTGAACAGGTATATGGGCCCGCAGGCTTAACCTCGGGCCAAAAAGCCCGGCCCGCAATAAATTCAAACTGGACTCGGGATTTTCCAAAATAGCCCGGCCCGACCTATAATTAAACCGAAAAACCCTAGGCGAATACCCCTCTTTTTTTCACCTCTTTCCCTTATTTTTCCAGCCAAACCCTTCTTCTCCACATCATTTTTCCCTTCTTTATATTATTTTTTTTAATGTAAATAAATTTTGAATTTATATTCTTTTTTAATGTAAATAAATTCTAATTTATATTGATTATTGAATAGGGAAAAATTCTAATTTTTTTATTAGGTCGGGCTTTGGGCTTTTTATCAGGGCCGGGCTCGGGCCCAAATTGTAGGCTCGTTGGTCTACCTGAATGAAACAAAAAAGAAGAATAGATCATTCCAATTCCAACTTTGAAACAAATGGACCCTAAGTTGTATTTGTCCTATTGTATTATTAATTTTGTATTCTTAGTAGTGTCTTGAACATTAGGAAAGATAAATGGCTAAATTCCCGAAATTTTGGAAAAAGAATAGAACTTCAACTAAAATAATTCCACCTAATATTTTCATATATTGTGTCATTGGTGATTAATCAGTTAAAAATCAGTAACCGGTCAGTTAGGTGATAAATCAGTTAAAAACCGGTTTTGAACATTTGCATATATAATATGCATGTATGTGTATAAAAATTTTAAGTTTAAAGACTTAAATTTTTTGATGTAAAATGGGAATTAAACTTTTTGAAGCACCATAGTTTTGTCTCCTATGTATACTGATTCTAAGGATGGTTAATTTTAATCAGCTGATCCGAATTCTAAGAAGAAAAGTGAAGAAATTTGCCCAACTTGAGTCCACCCCCAATCCAAACAATGAAGGTTGGGTTGGGTGTTCGACAACTCGGGTAGGGCTAGGGTTTCAACGCAACCCAACTTAATCTAGTTCAACTTATACCTCTAACTTTTTTTTAAACCCCAAATTTACTCTAGGTGCAGGGAGGCCAGCTAAACTTTTATTAAGGAAACTCTAACTAAAACAGAAAACACTAACAGCCCAACTTGCCCCAAACCCGAGATACAAAGAATTTTTCCATGCATAAAACACACTCCACCCGATCCAAATAATGAATAATGAATACAAACACTTAAAC